TCATATTGCTGCCGTGCTAATGTTGCCGCTGTTCGTTGCCCAATTGTCTTGCGTTCCACACGCAAGCCACCGTATCGAATGTCTTAATTAGAAATGCTCAGTCTCAGTCTCTCAGTCCCAGGCTCGGCTGTCCACATAGATAAATATATGGATATATTTTGTACGAGTATATCCCAAGATGCCGAGACACCTCCTCATTGTGTCGCGGGGTTGGCCAAGAGGCAAGCTCACGTTGCAACAAAGATGTAGCCACCAGAAAATCGGTGAAAAAAAAAAAAAACCAAACAGCCAGAAACAATCCTAAACGAGGATCACATCTCCATCGTTCGGTTAATGCAGCACATAAAATGTAATAAATTGTGTTGTCCGATGCTGCACGGTTCCGTGGTCTGTACTCCACGTTGCGGGTGTTCGGCTTTTGATTATAATAAATATTTTGGCTGATTCGCATTGCAAAATGCAAGCTTAAGTTCGCTGCGCCTCGGCGAAATCATTTTTCATAATTTGCATAATTTATGCTGGAAATTGGACTTCGAATTCTTCAACAAAAACTAAAAGTCATACAATAAAATATGGAAATACCCTCGTATCATCTATATACTAATCCACAATTCTATGTTACAACCTTTCATATTATTTTTTGAAAATGTTGTGTAGATAAATAAATGATTTATAGATTGGCTATTGGCTTAGTTCAAAATAAAACATTGTAAATACGGGTCATATAAAAATTAAGCATTTAAATATGAATCATTTAATTCCCCTCAAAACAACAAAAATGTAAGACAACTTATAAACTGTTAGCAAATTCTATTATCCATTAATTAAAGCAGTCATAATCATCAGAAAAAACCCCTACAAACCTATTATTCACACATGCTCATATATAGCTAATCAACCAATGTTTTGTCTATATATTTTTCATTAAATATTTTTCCAAAGATTTTTCCTCAACTTCTGCTGACTTCTGGCCGCCTGACTCTTTTGACACTTTTTATCTGCGAGAATTAGTTATAAGCCGGCAACACAAAAATAATAATCATAGCCCACTAGATTTTTTCCTTTTTGTAATATTTCCTAACGTGTGTTGTCTTGGCTTGAATTTGACAAATTAATAGATGTTGCTGCGGCTGTCGTGTCAGTTGTCTTAGACAAAACCAAAACCCGAAAAACAAAACAGAAAACGTGGACACAGTTCAAAGGGGGCAGTCATAAAAAAATAATGAAAAAAGATGGATAGATAGAGACATACATAAAATATATACAATTTATAAATATTCATGATAGGTGAATTGAATTATTGCACAAAATTATGTTTTTGGGGATGGTGCGAAATAAACATTAAAAAACTAAATTGATTTAAAAACTTGTTTTGGTGTTAATAAACCTTTTAAAATAAATAAAGTCTTGTAATGTAATATATATAAATCAATAAAGCATTCAACATTTTTCTGCGATTTAAAATTCTACTAGAGTTTCCAGTTTTATTGCCATTAAAAAAAAAACGAAGACAAGAATGTAAAAAATAATCAACGATTTGAAATGCACGCCAAACGCATAACTTGCCTTTTAGATGGTTAAATTCAGCATTCGGCTAAAGCCAAAACACTCAAACTGAGAATCATACATGCTATTCTGCAGACTCTCCCCATTTTTGGGCCATCATTTTGCAGTGACAAATATTCAAACATTGTCTATCTTGCATAGAATGCCATCTTAAAAGTACACAGAAAAAACAGCATAGATATTTATGGAAAATCCCTAAATGATATGTGATTGGTTTTTGAAGAAAAAAACGGAATTAAGTGAGTCTCAGAAAAATGCAATAAATATTTATAGTGCACTAAGACAGTGCTGGTTTTATGCACCATTTAATAGCTTAGTTTTATGAGAAACTTTAAATAAAAAATCATGAAGTACTTTTCTGTGTATGTCAAATGCAAATGAGTTGGAATTCCTTAAGACTCACAAGGCTGTTTTAGGGCCCACAAATTGCCCATGATATAAGTGCATCTTCTTTTGCATCGAGCAATTAACTGACAATGGAGAAAAGGTCCGACAAGTCGCTGGGTATTGCATAAATCAATCAAATTGTCTCTCACTCGGTCGACTCATTGAGTAATAGATCCAATTTCGATATGAAACAGAAATTGGGTTTTCTTCTCTTCTTTAGTTTATTTTTTGCACAACTTTAAATACCAACCCCATTACCCATTAAGCAACAAAGATGGCTAGTACAACAATGAGCAACAATTGATGAAAATCGACAATTAATAGTGAAAGTCTAGGCCCAGACGAAGCATCATCATCAAAGGTACTGCAGGAAGTTAGTTTGCTTGGGGACCGACTCCGCGGATGGAGCTTGCAGACGGTGGACTGTGGACTGTCGACTGGAGACTGGAGACTGGGGACTCCTCCATGTCTATTAGGCCATGAGTCTGGGCTTTGTCGCTGTCGTGGATTTCAAAGGCGATAGCATCGAAGCCGCCAAGTTGCAGCCAAGAAAAAAAAGCGAAAAAACCTGCCCCAAAATGAGTAAACTCCTTCGGCCCGAGACTGAACCGAACCCGAGACCCATTTGTATACTTCTCACAACAGATCTTCACACGGAGACGTAGACCCAGACTTAGACTTCGTCTCTGGCACCCACTGACTCAATGACTGAGTGGCCGGGCATGGGCCATTTTGACCTGGCCAACAAAACAAAACCCAAAAAAAAAAAAAAAACGGCGAAGACGAGCCGACTCGCATTACCATTTCTTTGGGTCACTGCACAAGAGATTCCCCCAATCCTCCTCCTGCCATGTCAATTTCGGCAGATGCCTACATGTCCAGGTCCATTGATCAGGTCCCCAGTGCCCATGCCCATGCCCATACCTCCATTGCGAGTTCGCAGTTCAAAGTACAGAGCCTGAGCTCTGAGCTCTGAGCTTGCCAAATAATATGTATTAACGATATTATATAAAAAGAAGAAAAACGAAACGAAAAAAATTAGCAAGCTTATGCAATGGCCAGGTCTTTTTTCTGTTTTTTTCTCCCCAGCATTGTAATAAATTTGTTAACGAGCCGACCAGAAAATCTCCTGAGTCGCGCGGGACACAAAAAATAAAAAAACAATTAGAAAATCGCAGTTTTCGAGGAAGATGCAGCCCCAAAATGATGCTGTATACATAAAATGCATACCCAGCCCAAATAAAAAATTTCTTAATGTTATTGGCTTTGGGGCCATCTCCCAGACAATGGATAAAATGGGTTATCTTAAATGTTTATCGCGCACTCTTCCCGGTAGCATTTTTGGCAGTAGCCCACGGTAGTTTTTATTCAGCATCTTTTATTTCTATTTTTATTTTCTTTGTTTGCTGATCGAAGAGTTCAGCCAGAGCCGCGTCTTCGATGAATTGCTTTCTAAATGACCCAAGGCCATATTTGGAATGATATTTCATATTGATCTGGGAACTCTGGCTCTCTGGGGCGGAGGCATTGTTTCTGGTCATGTTTTGCTGCCTCACAAAAAGGGTGTGTTTATTAATAAATAACCAAAAAAGTATGGAAAAAAGCGAATACTTTAAATGTGGGAGAAACAAAAATCTAAACGTGACTTTTGACATGCCAAGAAATGAAAAATTTACAATTCTCATTCCGGGCAATATTTACAGTAATATTTCGTGGAATTAATTGATAAAATCTGATCTTTATTACGACTTAATTGGCTTGAAACTTTCTTTGAAAATTCAATTTTTCTAAAATGAAAAGTTTGGGGTAAATACTTTTAAGATTCCCACATTAGAAAAACTTTGTTTTTGATTTTATATATTTAACTGAAAGTAAATATTTACTGGGAAAAACAGCAACCAAAAAGCTGCATAAACAAATTTTAAGCATTTGTTGAATTTTTTTATTGCCAAAAATTTTAAGTTTTTAAACCAAAGTCTTTATTGCTGGACTTGCTCCGACTTAAGCATAAGCAATAAAATTATAAATTAAAACAAAGCTTTTGCAGGCAATTCTTAGCATTTACAACTGCAATGTAATGGTATTTAATATCCAGTTAACTGTTGGCTGTTTAAATCAGGCCTAGTTGAATCTTGGAGGCAAGCATAAATCTTTGCAAGCATAAAACTAGCTAGCAGCTAAACACTCGTATCTATTAAAACCCCATAACGCCACACAATTAAATGTAAACTGAATCTGTGTCAGCCATGTATTGTACAGATGCAGATGCAGATGCCGATATAGAACTATCGGTGGCAAAAGGTCGAAAGTGTTGGCTATCAACTGTCGAGATGAACAACAACAATATCATTAAAAGACAATAACATTGTTCAAGAATTTCAATTGAATGAGTCAAGAGCAGAGCAGCAGGGAAAAAAAAAATGAGCTGAAATTGTCGCAACAATTCGTATAAATCTCTTTGCGCCACTTTGAATGCTAAGTAAACCAGAGGCGACCACATCGTCATCGGTTTTTAATCGCTGCAAAAATCACCGAAGGCCATCTTGGACATTTCATAGTCGCAGTCCCCGCTCCCTCCGATTTATAAGCCAAATCAAAACGAACCCGAGACGACCATCCGATCGGATTGAAGTCATTTTTGAGCGCATCTCAACCAGTTGCTCGAATGTATCTGTATCTGTAGCCGCTTCTACCTATATTCCTATATCTGTGTGTTTGCCAATACCTGTGGTTTGGCACTTGTCGCCAAAATTCACAGAAAAACACATTTCGTATTTAATCAGAGAAATATTAAGCATTATTTGTACCCTAACTACAATTCTAGACAATTTCTCATTAGTTTTGCATTAGGTATTAGTACTGTTTTCGAAACATTAACTATCTCAAACTCATGTTAGAGTTTATCTAAGTTTGTTTTCAAAGTTAACCGCCTCCGACTGGTTACAAAATATAGCTTTAACTTCAAATTGGGAAATCGGCTATTAGAGCAAGACTATATCAAAGCTACATTTAAATCACCGTCACTGATGAAAACATGAATATTTAAGGTTTGAATATTTCTGAAGTTATAAATGAATATAAAAAGACATAATATGGAGCTCGAATTTGATTTTAATGTTTAAACCATAAGCCAAGAACTTCCTTAACATTTGCTAATATATTATTCACTGGTCTAAATCCAAAATTAGTGCTGCTAAGAAATAGGTAATTTTTGTGTAAACTTAACATATTTTTAAGCACTAATTTTTTCGTGTGCAGATGTCTCGGGATTTTGCCCAAATTACTCAGCAATGGGTCAACCTTTCGCAGCCCAGTGTCCACTTTGTCATTATACAAAAGCGGATTCGTTGAATTAATGAAAAGATGTCTACGAAATAAAAACTAAGCACCAGCAAAAAGGAAAAATCCACTGCAACCTGAGCTGGTTAGAAGCGGTGTGAGATATTAGCATGAAATTCGCATAAAAGAATTCTGCCGTTAAGGTGTTAGCCGGGAACAGTTGCAGATGCCTTGATCGCTCTGCTCGTTCGCATTGTGTAAACTGGTTTAATTGAATTGTTATATCATCGGCTTCATCATCATCGATGCCAGCCTGAGTTCTTTTCATTCGCGGCCCACAGCGAAGCAGCCAACATATGAGTCAGGCCAGCAGATATATCTAAATATAAGTATATCTGAATAACTTAAGATTGCCTGACTTAATTTAGATGACTTGCTTGTGCAAAAGTATTTGATAATCCTCTTGAAATTGACTTGATTGATGCAATATTGTCTCAAGGAATTTTATTTGCGATATCTTTGCTTTTAACAAAAAAAACATAATATAAAAGAAAGAAGATTAAATAGTATTATATGGGTTAAGGAACATAAAGAACATAATTTGCATACAATATTATGTTAAGTAGATAAGGGCTAAAAAAATTTTATTTTGTGATAAAAAAATCATTAAAAATTGAAATGGTATGAGGAGAGCATTATAGATTTAAAGTATTGTATTTTAATAAATTAGCAATATAGTAGCTAAACATAAATATGCCAAATCAGAAAGATAAGATTACTATATTTCCTTTGAAACTACCATGTTTCTCAATACTGTTTATAAATTTGCATAGATTTGCCAAATATAGTTCAATCATGACTCCTCCATCCATTTAGAAGACCCTCACCCTCGATCGATTCTCCACTCCCAGTCCCACTTCCAGTCGCATTTCCAGCTCCAATCCCACTTCCAATACCAATGCGAATTACCCAGCTAAGGTCTTAGTTTTTTCCCCACATTTATTATACCGATTGAAGCCGCCTAATTTGCATGTTGAGCGGCGCCCCACCAAACTCGGCTCATTCGGCGGGTCAAAGGTGCACATGATGCTGCAGTGCATCAGTGGTGCTAGTGGCTGTGCAGTGGTGGTGCAGTGGTGGTGCAGTGGTGGTGCAGTGGTGGTGCAGTGGTGGTGCAGTGGTGGTGCAGTGCTGCCAGTGCCTGTGCCTTTGCCTTCGACTTGGCTCAGCCAGCCACCGACTGATTGACATGGCTGAGACAAAGATAAATAAGCTGCCAGTTTTGGAACGCCGCTTACATAATTACGGGCATGGAATGGATTTTCGTTCGGTTTCTGGCCAAGATTTTTTCCGATCCGTTGCCAGGCGCATCCGATTCGCAAAATTAAAGCCACTAAAGAAGGTGCAGCTTGGCTTGAGTTGGGAAGCTTGGCCAGTAAAAAAATAAATACAAAATATTTGGCACAATTTGTTTTATGCAGAAAAAAATGTATAACATTAAAATGTTGTACAAATTTGTTTGATATAACTATTTGAACTAACTCCTACAATTTAATTTTAATACGAAACTCGAATCAGTTATTAATATTAATGACAATTTAAGGTAGCCAATAGATCATTAAAAAATTAAAAAAATTTAACTATTAATATTTTGGCAGAGTTTTTTTAATTGCCCACTACAAAAATCAAAAACTCATTAGGAAATTAACATGGTTTAGCAAAGTTTTAAAATGAAATTTGTACTTTGACAATTTAAGAATACAATTTTTTCTTTAAATGTAAAATCAATCATTAGAAAAGATCAACATTTTTTCATGCCAGTTGATTTGTTGATTTTCTGTTAGTTTTTTCCGGCAAACTTTCCGAAATATCAGCCAGTTATCAAAACACGCGACGTCTGGCAGTAGATATGTATTATATAGTAACATAGGTACTGCGGATTCGAAACTCCTGCGCTTCGGAATCGTATTAGTGTTAATTTCCAGCTGGCTTCTCTACCCTTTTTTATGCCCATTGTTGCACGTTTCAGTTTTTCTTTGCATTTGGGTTTGGGTTTTCGCTTTCATTCGCTGAGCAAACATTTGGAATCGAGAGGGGAGGGAGGTGGAGGTGGAGGTGGTGGGGGGTATAAGAGTATGCGGGGGATCGGTTCCCAAATCGATTAAACCCCACCAAACCCCCGAAGTGTCGTAAACAAAGCGAGCAGCTCCGTGTTTTTTCCCAGCAGGTTGCAGCAGCCACAAACACCAAAGGCAAAACATGCATTAAAACGCCAATATTGCCTTTTGTCTTGCCTTCGTATCTGCAAGATGCACAGATCCCCCTCCCAAAGACCCCTCCCAACTCCCCCTAGTCCGCGCAATTTGAGCCTAACCCATATATTTGTCGTTTGGGGGCTGTGCGAGGCGCGCTCATGAAGATTTGATTTAGTGTGAGTACGGGAAAATTGTTCGAAACGAACGTTTGCATATCTAAATTTGAGTTTTGTATCTGCCAGATACAATAGATTTATCTATTTGGGAATTTGCCTACCTTTCGCGCATGCACAAAGCGATTTAAATGGCTTTGTGGCCAGCACATAAAGAAGAGATTCTTGGGAAAATGGTTTTTGAAACCGGAAATTGTTTGAATTTAAAGGAGTGTTTTCTTAATTAAACAAAAATATATTTTGTATATAGCATTGCTTGGACAGAAATATTTAGCATTTATTGTTACCAAGGCACTTAAATTAATTTACAGTTATACAAAAAATATATCATGTTATGGGTCTTAGACATTTTAACCATTTTAATTGTAGTTGCTCATTTATTTTTAAACCCAAACCCAACGCTAAACTTAACACAATGACCAATCGTTTAGACTTCCTATTCACCTCTTACTGCACATTAAAATATGCATTTATTTAGGAACGCGAACATATCGAATTACTCATACGCCCATGGGCCATCACATCCTTGCTTCCTTATTATTTTTTAATAGGCCGTAAACGTAAGCCCGAAGACTCTTTCACTTTCATTTCGCCATTTTATGACAGGCACATCCCATCGTACCCATATTGCCCATTTTGATAACGCCCACGCCAGTAAGGGAAAATGCCCATTTGGCGCACTATAAATATAAAACACAAACATGATCGTCAGACAAGCAAACATCATCATCAACAAGATCGGCAACTATATGCCCAACGCTAGAGCACATCCCCATATTCATTCACAGATATAAAACCAAATTGACATGACGTTGTCGTTTTGGTTTGGTTTAAATGTTTGCCAGTCTTGGGTTTTATTTTGGATATCGGTGTGGTGAGGAATTCGTGGCATCATCATCATCATCATCATCATCATCATCATCAACATCATCGGCAACAACTTGACTCTGAGCCGAAGTCAACTTGCTGCAGTTAAAGCGTGTCTTCAAGACTGTTATTAAATCAATAATGAAGCACACGAATCGCCCCGAAGCCTCATCATCATCATGATGATCGGGCTACATCATTAGCACTAGTTGTTGCTGTTTCTGTTGCTGGTTGTAGTGTTGCTGGTGTTGCTGCTATAGCTAGTGTTGCTGTTGCCATTGCTTCTTTGGTTGTCGGCTTCTCTGGCACGCCGGCTGACACACAAAAAACATCGTGGAGTTCACGGAACGCACCCAAAAGCCAAACTCCGTTTTTCTCTTGATTTTTCGTTTTGGTTTTTGGCATTAGACAAGCTTTGTTTTCCACCGAAGTTGGTCGGGCGCTTCTCCCCGAAAGAAATCGAATTCGAACTATTAACTTATTGCAGTCAGTGTAAGTCAAAGTCGAGACGTTTGCCATATTTTCTTCAATTTTGTCGTTTTTTTTTTGTCGTTTTTTGGCACATTCCAGCCACGTTTGTCTCTGTTTCAGGCTCGGCAAGGTGTCGGGGTTAACTAAGGTGTGATAAATTTTTGCCATCGATAGGTCGCCCTAGTCTTGGCGTTTTGTTTTCCGTTTTTCGTCATAATTGTTTTATTATGGTCGTGTGGGTCTTGACTTTTTTTTTTTTTTGGGGGGGGGCGCCAAACTCATTCTCATTGCAGGGACTGGACCCAAAAAAAAAAAAAAAAAGAAAACCAAAATAGAAAAAATAGAAAAATAAACTAAGGGGCCAGCATCGTGACTACGCTCCCCCATAACGAAAGCTCGGTGCTATAAAACCGCCAAAGATCTTGTTTTATTTTCGGGGCTTTATCGCTTTTTGTGTGGGTTCTCACAGTCCGCGGAAAGTTGTCTTCTGATCCCGACCGAGACTATTAAATTCAATTGAAGGCACTTGTTTTAGCACAGTAGAAGCTCTTTGACATGAACTTCTCTAAGAGGTCACAGGTTTTTGGTTGTTTTAGGTAACTTGGCAAAATTATTCAAAATATGAATGAGCCTTTGACATTGGTAAACTCGTTATTGAACAAAATAGTTATTCAAAAACTATTCATAAATCAAATATGAATTTTTAATATATATGCGCAATTTTTATATATGTATTAATTTTTTAGTTGATAATTTATATATCAGAGTAAACAAAAATAATTTGATTGCAGCATTTTAAAAAGTGTTTCTTCAATAATTTTCATAATTAATCAAACACCTTTTAGGGGCTTAATTCAATTAATAAATGTATTAATTTCTTCTTTAATTGGTCTTAGAAATCGGTATTTTTTAGACTGCACAATTAGTTCTGGTTATCGAGGTTATACCGTATTTCCAATACAAACGGCTGCATCTTTTTTCCATTCACCCACGCAGAAATAGCAGTCGATTTTCTCCAAGTTTTTTTTTTTATTTTTTGATGGTAATTAATAGTCAAAGGCACCAACAACAGCGACGCCTTGGCCAACAGACAATTTCAGGCTCTCAACTTGTGCATAAAAATTTGTCCATTCAGTGGCTGTAGTTTTTGGTGTTACTGGTGGTGTAGCTGTTGCTGCTGCATCTGTTGCCGCTGCATCTGTTGCTGCTGTTGCAGTTGCAGTTGCAGTTGCAGCGGCAACGGCAACACGCAAACCAAGGTTTGTTTGTCTATTACTTAATTGCCAGTCCAACTCTGGGATAGATCGAAGCGGTAAGGCAAGTGGGAGGAGGTGCCTATAATAACAATTAGCGTGGCATTTTAATATGCATTATTGCTGTGAAAAGATCGCAAACTGATTTCACCGCCAAGGCAGCAAAGTATTTGGCAGAAGAGTCACGACTTTTTAGCAGGACGACGAGGAAGCCATCTCCATATGCGTTTCTCCTATGCCCAATTGGCCGAAGTCGTCGGGGGAATCTTAATTACACAATTAATTTGTTGAGGCATGCAAACTAAATGGCTTGGGCTGTAAGGCAACTTCACTGGGTTTGCTGCGGATAGGTTTCAGTTTTTGGCCAAATGGTGATTGGTTACTTTAAG